TATTTTTCCAAGATATTAATAAAAAAAAAAGATATTTAAAATTTTAAAAGATAATTAAGTTTAAAAACGTAGCTTCCGTTGTTGGGACTAGGAATTTTGACAGGGGGGCAAAAATATGTTTGGGGGGAGCTTAGCCCCCAAGTCCCCCCCTAGTTACGCCTATAGTAGTTTAGAATTCAAAGTAAACACATATTTAGTGATTTGTGATTCTATAATAGAAGAATTAACAAGTCGAAAGTTAGCTTTATTACGATAATGTCATAACAAAGTATAATTTTTTTTTAAGACTCGCAAAGATAAAACCATCAGAAGTACGTGTTTCAGCTGAACATTTGTACTCAATGTATACAAAAGATTTGTATGTAACATTTATTAACAAATATGTTCATTTTCAAAGTTATATTCAAAGTATGAAAAATTCTCCATCAACTACAATTGGTATGAGTTCTATGTTAAAAATAAAAGGATTAGAAGACATTTACCATTTACCCTATGTGAGTATTGCTGTACATATGTTTTTATGTACTCCCTGTTCAAACTGTACCGCTGAACGGTCATTTTAAACTTTACGCCGAATAAAAACATACCTAAGGTTAAATTTAACAATTTCTAAAGAGAGATTAAACTCACTTGCAATATTTTAAATATGAATCAGAAATAACAAAACAAATTAAATATGAAGATATTATAGACCATTTTGCTGATATTCAATCAAGAAAAAAACTTGTAAAATAAACAATAAATTTAATATTATTATATTACTATATATACATATTATTAATTGTATATCAATATATCATTCATTATTATTTGAATCATGGAAGATTTTAAGTAGATAGAACCTAAGACCTAAGTTATAAATTAGTTACTTATGTTTTTTTTTTGTATGGTTTACCTACTATTAAAAATATAATATTGCATAGGAATGCATAGGTAGGTTAAAATTTAGCCTAGTTAAAATTGCTAAAAATTAACTGCAAATTAAATTTCAATGAGAAAGAGAAACTTAATTTTATGCCCCCCCCCCAAAAAAAAAAAAATTAGCCACCACTTCTATGGTATTCAAAAAAATGTGTTGGAAAGGGTCATCATAAATATTGTTCCCGGGGGCGAAAAATCTCTAAATACGGCCCTGCTGTCACTTAACGTCTCTCGATACCATCGATGCCTATATAAAAATAATATGGAAATGGAACTAAAAACTCATAATTTTCTTTAATATCAAAAAATTATAAATCCCTTTCAAGCTATATAGGTATAATTAAAAATCAGTGTACGCCCACTAAAAAATCAGAATATTATACTGTTATATTAGGGAGTGGSTACAAATAACCACTCCATTTTTCACTTTTTTTCAAAAATAAAGATTTGCGCAGAAGCGTATAAGTGTGTACTATTACGTATACTTTTGACACACAATGTTGTGTTATTAATAGTAAAATTTAATTAAATAATTCATTAATTATATAGAATTTCATTAGTTTTACGAATTAGTAAAATTATAAAATAAATTATCTACTTTATGTATGATCAATTAATTTTAATTTTAAATACGCTTATACTTAGTTTAGTAATTTGTTTACTTTWATGGATACAGTATACGTTCTAAAACTTTTGCAAATAATACATTTTGTTTTAAATATTTTGATGATCATGTAACGATTGTCATCATCGACATCGTACATTACTCCCTACGTTGAGCACGGTTAATATAATATGCTGAGTGTTAGTAATGGCAAATATAGTCGCGGAAATGCGCAATATAATATTATGCTGACTAGAGTTTAGCAATCGTCGAGTTAATGGCCGACCGGGACTCCTAGCCGTGGCAAATGGGGAGTTGAGTGTCAATAGTTGATGGTGAAGGTGTCAAKGGCTAACAACAACCCGAAGAGCACCAACGGACGACCGGCTTAACTCACACTAGATATCGGTAACCCTTAATTATAACTTATAAGTACTATAATATTTAATGTTCTATATATTATAAGTTTAATATTGTAGTTATAATAATAATTAAAAATATATACCTATATTTTATGTATACGTTGAGTACTTTGTTTCACATAAGGTAACGCTGATCCYTAGTAATAATATCATACACCGAGGTCGAGTCTCCGAGACCTCGTAAATATAAACAAAACGACACCTAAGGAGTAAGGAGTGGTGCAAAACGATAGGTGGAGAGGAGACGTTACAATATAATAATATAGGTATTTCAAATTTTTAACAGCATTGTGACGGTTTTATGTGATTTAGAATAAGTTCGTTTTGACATTATTTTTGTTGAAGGAAATATAGTGCATTTTATTCTAATCATGCAATATTGAAGTCAACTTAACCGATGAAATGGTACTTTAAAAAAAATAAACCACGATTTACCACCTTTTTTAATATCAAAATCGAAATAAAACTCAATATTTATATTGTTATATGGTTTAATATTATGAAATTCATATTATATATCACTTTTTAATTACTCAACTGTATCAATGTAAAAAATGCATATATAATTTTAATCCATTGTTAAATAATTATTACTTGTAATAGCACCATGTGTGCTGAAACATTTTAAGATTATAATAATAAAAAAAAATTATGAAATTAAAAGTCGGTCGAATGACACGGTTTATGTTTAGTGTACGATATGATCGATATGTGTATTTATTGTTATTATAATATTACTGCAATACAGTATATGAGTTGGTTATTCTAAAGGTTAACACTAATTTCAAATTGCAAAATATTAACGTTTTTTGAAATATTTTCTAAAATGCCTTCATTTTAGAAATAATAAAAAAAAAAAACAATAAATTTATGTTTTTGTCTTTCATAATCGGTTTTTTAAATGTTTTTCTCATTGATAATGAAGTATACATTTCTTAATTTATGTTCCCAAATATTATTCTTAGCAAATTCAATGAATAAAAATMAAATTTCATACAATAAGTAATAAATAATTTATATACTAAGTTATTTTAAATTTTTGTAAGGTTAGTCTATACTAATATAAACTATAAATACTCATAACTTGTCAGTACTATTCATCTAAAATTCAATTTTTATAAGTCAAAATTCCTTAAAAAGGAATCATTCCTGATTAAGAATATACATGTTGTCTTTCAAAAGAAAGAATTCTCAAAAAATGTTATTTTATAATAAATTTTAAATTTGTATGCAAAAATAATCATTTCCAAAATGTATTGATACATTTATTGAGATAGTAAGTTTTAACTGTTAAAATAATTGCCCTGTATATGAATTTCTAATGTAGGTGCGCGTGACCCCTTATAATATATATATATATATATATATATAATATGTAATGAAAACGGGCGTCGTCGGGGCCCTGACATAGTGGTATAGACGGGTAGGTGAGCGCTGACGACCCGACGCACTCGAAATTTAATATAATATAGACAAATAAATAGTGTACAATATTTTATTATTATTACTRTATATAGTTATACATTTTCTACTTAGTATATTAATATTAGATATATACATAGTTTTCCGAAATTAGAGATCGAGACAGCTGATAAGTTTAATGCGTTGGACGCAGCGTCTATATATAGCTATATTATTTACACCTACCTATACTACATATTTTGCCATGTGTATTAAACGATAAGAATATATTATATTGTACCTATAATATTATGCCCTTATACTTGCAAGTTGCAGTCATAGGCGCCCGCAGGGGAGGGCAAGCTGGGGCATTTGCCCCCCWGGCTATTTCAAAATATTTTTTTTTWTATTGAATACGAGTGTAATAAAAAAAGGTTATTATTTTAAAACACCTAGTAAAATTATAATATTTATCCTCAAATCCTGACATTACCMTTCCCCAGAAAAATTTCTGCGGGCGCCTATGGTTGCAGTCATAATCAAATTAATCATTTAATTAATTTTTCAAAATGTGTGGAGACTATAATAATTTAAAAAACTAAAATTCAAAATGTTACCACTGTACCAGCGACAAGCACAGAATCGTTTTTTTAACGTGACGGTCAATTATTTAAAAAAATAAAAATGACAACACATCTCTAGCTGTTATCGACGACGTTAGACCCCAATAGCGCCAGACGCCTTAAAAATATATTTTTACGTTTATTGTTGTGAAGTATTATGTTTAATATACTTGTAGACATTTCAAATTTGATTACATTTTTTTGGAATTAATGAGGTATGCTGCTGTGACAAAAATATAACTATAGTGTGGGTATATACCATAAAGACCTGACCAGACATCTGAAACTTTTTTGCTTACTTTTCTTTGTCAATTTTGAATTTTTATCATTAGTTYGTGCAGTTTATACTTTTAATTATTAAGTTAAAAATAACATCTTAAATTACAACACCCACAGACTGTTAAAAAAATTAAGTTCAAGTTTTAAATCTCTATATAAAATGATTGGTTAACTAATGACTTTTTATATATTATAATTACGGATAACCTACTCCTAATTTTATTTCGCTTGAATCGATAGATACATTTTTTGATGATTATCAATTTCCAGATATAATTTATATCCTTTAACTCTTCTCTCGGATTTCAAAATTTCAACCTGTATGGCTGTATATCGTTTACATCATTCTTAACATGTAATGTTTTAGCATTARTTTTCCTTTTGCGTGTGTAGGTACATCCAATTTATTAATAATTCAGGTAAAATCAAAGATTACAATTATGGAAATATACATTTTTTGTACAATATGTATAGTTGTCCACATTTTACAACAAAAGTAATAATGTCTGCACTTCTTCGCCACAACGAAAAATCATAAATTAGAACTTCAACAGTTCAACCACAAACACGCTCTGTGACAACATAGGTACGTGTATTAATGTATAATATATTATACATTTATGAATATTTATAGTTGTTAATAAGCTTTTAACGATATATTGATTGATGTACACTCATTGTATACTATATAAAGGTATATATATTTAGATATTTAATTTTATCATGTCAAATATAAATAGGCAAATACATAAAAAGCCGAAATTCGGTAACTCCTCTCACTTAACTTTCTTAGACACAAGCTTGAAGCTAGTAGTGTATTTCATGACACAGCATCTACGAAATCAATTAAACAGAAATATTTATATCGTTGTATCGATTATCATAAAATTATTTAAAATTATATGCTGCTTATATAACTAAACACTGTATAAGAATATGTTGAATGACAATAGCTAAAATTGTATGATAACCTACGGGCTACGGCTATACATAACTTAACAGTTATTATAAATATATTATCATCATTGTGATTTAGGTATTTTAAAACTAAAAATAACATAATGAAATGACTCTTTAAAATAAATGATAATATAGGTAATTCGTTTCTATAATAAATATTAAAATTTTAGTTTTAAAAAAAACTTTCAAGAAACATTTAGTTAAAAAAGTTCCTTGCAAGTTTCACTCTAAATGATTCCATTATTTGATAGACTCTGTGAACCGGTCACATAATACCTATTATTTAGATTTAGACAGTTTACAAATAAAAGGTATACTTAATGATTATTTTGTTGTGCATATTCTTCATAGTACGTATGAATATAATGAAACTTTAGACGTATACCATRATATTGCTAATCGCGATGTATAATAAATGAGGACATCGACTAAGTAGGTATTACCTAGATATATACCTGGGCTACAGTAAATTGATTAAAATATTTAATCTGCGCAGGTCAACGAAAAACGTATAACTATAAAAAACAATTATTCCGTATAAAAAATAAAATTTACCTATAACACCATCATAATAAGTATGGGAAAAAMAATATTATAAATACAAACCAAGTTATATGCCGTGCACGGCGGGGTTGCGGGAGGAAATCGGAAAACTGAGCATGACTGTTTTGAGAAAAACTTTTTGACACGTGAAACTCGTGTGACGCGCAGTTGGAGTAGTGTAGTAGACCTGTTGACAACATATTTTGTTCATTAAATTATTGAACAATAAGAATAAATACTTATAACGCAATCGTTCTAGTTTTGATTGTCATGATTTCTATTTGCAATTGGCATGTGTTTATTTGGATTACAGCAGTGTACGGTACGTGAATTTCTATAATTAATTACTAAACAATTATTATCAACAAAAGACAAATTTCGCTTGTAGTAATACAACTTTGTTATTTATATTATTTTATAGTAATTATACGTGATTCAATAAGTTTTTAACCAAAAAATAATAATACTATATTCTAAACACATTTTTATGAGATTTATATTTCAAAATTTTTTTTCTTATACATACTATAAGAGTGTAATTACACATTTTATAAAAATTAAAATAATTTATATCTATTGTCATTGATTATAAATACTATAAATATTAAATATTTTTAATCAATAATATTATCTTACCTTTCACATAATGCATGATTATTTTTGTCTCAATAAGGATGYCCATTCAATAATGTTAAATAATAATGTCTACTAGGTAAACAAAAATATATATTTTCTTTTTTCATTTGTTATAAAAACACTACTCTAACAAGAAAAATTTACCATTAATCAAATAAATTTAATTCACATGTTTTTATATTGAGCTTGTTTTTTTTTTATTCTAAACATTATCATAATATGTTTTGGTAATGGATAATATGCTAATAAATTACTCATTTTTATAATATTAACAATAGTTGTTCGAAAGTTAAATAATAGATTATAGTTATACTAGTTCAAACATATATTTGCACCCATTCAAACTTGTGTTATCTTTTATTATTTATTGACTTTTGCATTTTAAGACCAATGAACAAAAAAATACACGAAGCGCATATATTGCATAAGAAATAAGAATAATGGTTATTAATTTATTAATCATATCAACGGAATTATACTGTATTGGTTCGTTTGAAGTGAAKAACACTATTTTTTTTAATTAACGCATACCTAGCTAATATTAGATTAATTTAAAATCAAATTTCCAAAAAAAAGGTTACCGATGACTAGCCTATATCAAAGTAACTAGGTATGCTGTAAATATTATATTGATTTTTTTTACGGAGCACAATGGGTAATAAACTTGTGATTGAGTGGTCAGGCATCTTAAATAATATGTTTATTACATTTTTATGATCCTCCTTTTTTTTTACCTGCAGATTCTTTTTTTTTCCCATGTTTAATTATTTCACTTCAACACTACATTAAACTTCAACAGTTAGTTGTTAATGAATTACTTAAACATAACTGAATCTGAAAACAATAACATAATAGTTAGAAAAATTATTTTGAAGCAGGTATTAATCACTTTAATTAAATTCATCGTCAATAGTATTATTAAATAGGTATACAAATTCAACGAAACGAAATTATTCATGATATTCAATATTATTCATAATAAGAATACAAGTTTGCCTAATATACAATTTTATTTTGTTGGATATATGATTACGTTGATAAACGTATGGCTTAACTCCAAGGTAATAATTTATTGATTATGAATTTTTATTATGAAATACCTTGGTTCCATTAAGAAAATGAAAACTCATTTGTATTAGTTTCGTGCAAATAAAATGCTACTAAATTAAGTCAGATATAATATAAATTTTTACACGAACTTCTTTRATTTARCACTGGTAATCTACTCAAGGTTAATGGTATAAGTAACAAAATTAGTATAAATGTAAATAAATCTTTTAAAAATGCCTTCAGGGTAATACTTAAACGTGACCTTACTTGATTATAAAATGATGTAAACCATTTCAGCACGTTTATAATTACAATTAATAAATTATGTACATTTTTATGCGTTTTTGACGTGACCAGGCGTAATAACTCACGGTAGTCACCAAAAAAGGACCGATACCTCCGATCCTATGTCATCACAGGTCAGTATTTACTATACAGGTACTAAAGAATTAAGATTTTAACAATTCAGTCAAAATTACTAATACAATTTATATACCTAGCCAATATAGGTATAAATAAATATATTGCTTTATCAAATGAAGAAAGTAGAAACACATATATAGGAWATAGGGTATATAGTAACGCTTGATAGACACGTCTATATTATATATTATTATTTAAGTTATATATTTTAATGTAGTTTTGTAGAAATAGYTAATCTCAGATATACCATATATGTATCTTATCCTTTTGATAACAACATTAAATACTATATTTAATATATTTTAGATACATACTCACAACTCACATGCGGTGGTGACTCGAAGAAACTACCTATATTTCAATCATGTGATTCACACAAATGTTAATGAATGGTTGTCCCAGGGTGGGGATAAGTAATTTGAAAAACATTTTAAGGTTATTAATTAATAATTAACCGTTATTTAACCATCTCTAATATCCTATGATAATTCATTATATTTGGAGAGTTTTGGAAAAAATGTTTGGGGTGGGTGGTAAAAAACTATTAAAAGTGAGTCAAGGAAAAAGTACAAGCCACCACTGCCAACTCGTGATCATTTTAAAATAATTAAAAAGCTAAACAGTTACATATTTGTTAAGTTTCGTATAAGAGAGCCATTCCAATTACATTTAAAAGCTAAATATTTAAGCAATCTTTAAATAGGATATGTTTCGCACACATATATATTACACGATGCAGTTACGATTAACGAATGAGATTTTTAGAAATCTGACGCTCAATCAAAATGATAACTAATGATAAACAAAATTTTAATTTCACTAACGAGACATTATTGCACGTGTTGCGTAGGTAGAACATAATTTTATATAATAAAGCTTTAAGTATAATGGACAAAACATATTTGACCTATAAAATATAGAATAATATGATATATTTTGTTAGTAAAACGTTCTAGACTTTTTTTTTACTGACTAGACTAATAAATTTAATTAACTATATCAATTAACTATTCTGTATAGGTATAGTATATCATATACACTTACATATGTATTTATTTAAACTCTTATGAGAATTTAATCAAAAATAAAACTTAGTGCAACATACATTTTCAACTATATTTGAAGTTTAATATTTAGATTTTTATTTATAAAATTATTTTWCAGCTCAATAAACAGAGTAATGATTTTCTAAACACTAATAAAAAATATAGGAAATCTGGAAATGTATATAGGTAATTTTATTATTTGAAGCTTATAGGTATTTGAAAGGAATAATATAGTATTGCAACATGTGGCGAGAAGTTAAATAAATGCTAGTTGACCTTAATTAATTTATATACAATTAAATATTAATTTATCATAAGTTATTTAAATATATTAATTTATATAATATTAACAGATTAAAATATACAGATAGGTAGTCTACGTATTTATAATATTATAGCTGTTTAACTTTCCAAAATCTATTAGATGATTTTTGATTGTATACCTATATATTATCGCTAATACATTTTAAAACATTATCATTTAATTTGAATCTAAGACTAATTCATTTATTCTTATTAGATTTATCCAAATATCACGTATGAGGTGAATACAAATTCTGGTAATTACGTCCGTATAGCCGAACCTTTTTCCAGTGTAAAGTTACAAAAGTTAAACTTTTATTTTGATAACCAAGATAACCAATATTCTGAAGTATTTGGTATAACAAAGAAGGGTGGCATAGTATTTATCAAGAATGTGAAACTTTTAAAAACATTCAATTATTCACAATTTACGTAAGTCGAGAAAAATAATATATAAACTAGTGAACAGAACAATTTTCTATTAATTATTATTAATAATAAATTGACATTGTTATGAAAACTAAGTATCTTTTTTTAGGCTGAAGATAGATTATGGCAAGGATAAAAAAACAGAAATCATTTTAAGACTTAACAATTTACCAGATGAACAATGCAAGAAAACATCACACTGTTCTAATATACATTTAGATACAAAATCCGAATGTACATCGTCATGTGGAATAGGGTGAGTAAAATATAAAATTTGGATATATTTTTTATTTTTTTATTTTTTTAAAGAGAAATTTAATTCAATTAAAGCTTTTTTATAGTCAATCAAAACGTCACCGAATAGTTAAAATTAAAAACAGAATGTCCATGCTCTACCACTATTAGATGGTATTTTGACACTGTTATATGAATAATTATTAATTATACATTCATCGTTGTTATGAGTCCATACTGTTTTCCTAATGTCACGATAAAATTATAATTTATGAAGTTTTTATAACAAACTTTAACCAATTATGATTATATAGTCACTCAAATAATTTTTTACCTACTGTTCTGAAAATAATATTTAAACGTTTAACAACACACATTTTTTATATTTTATAGTAAAATAAGTACAAATAACTAATATTTATTCAAATTTTCGCAGAACCATTACAAAATGTCAATGGAGAGAATCGTCAAATCCCGATGTATTCACTGCAAATTATTCAACTTGTACCCCGGATATCAACACCTGTCCAGATGGAAATTGTGACAGCCTGGAAAAAATGAATCATTTATTATGCCCGCAAGACTGTACCAGTAATTATAACTATATAACAGTTACTAATACATATATTGTTTAACATTATGATTATGATTGAAGATGAAGTTTTTGGCACCGGAAAAGAAGGTAAAACTTCAGGGATTTCGGGAGCTAAAGGCGTTTGTACGTGTGACGAAATTGGAAAATGTACGTGTGAAACAAAACTTCACACTGGACCGTCGAAAAATCAAAAAATCCGAAATGAATCCGTTATACTCGCAGACGCACCTACTATAGGTAGTCCATCTTTTGCACATAAGTGTAACATCTAAATTCATACCTACTGCTATTATAATTTACAATCGAAACATTTCAGTAAATCCTGAACAAGACGAGTGCGGAAATTGGTGCGACAACTATGTTAATACTAGTATAATAATAGTAATAGCGTTTGTAACAACTGGACTTGTTATGTATTGTTTTAGAAATAGGTACATTTTAGTTTAATCTTCTTTAACTACAAGATTATTATTATTATTATTATTATTATTATTATTATTATTATAGCTGTATAAAAGCAATAATATCGTTTTCAGAATCGTATGGATTTTGGGTGGTTATAAAACGAATAGGAACGTCAGAACACTCGACGAACTGTTGCCGAACTTCAATCAAGATGAATATCAACCGAACCCAGTACCTAACAGAGATACTTTCACCATTAATATAGTAAGTAACACAATGGTTATTAGTACCAATTCTATATACTAATCATTATTACATAATTTGTATCAAATATGTTATTTGACAGGACTTTGACCCTAAATGGGAGTTTCCAAGAAGTAGACTTATTCTAGAGCAAGTGATCGGTGAAGGAGAATTTGGTAAAGTTCTAAAAGCTCAAGCAATAGATATTCCTGGTACAAAAGGTATGATTGTTCAAATTATGTCAATAAAATAAACCTATATTAATTAAATATACATACAGTATACATAACAGTTGCATATCGCTACTTGCACTTTAATTTGTACGTTATTTCTATAAACTGTTAAGTAAAAAATAATTGTTTAATAATA